CTTTAGTTATATGTTTTACTTTGTTATTTTTTTGAGATTTCATGTCAACATTCAAGCCTAGGGCTTAACTTGTAATTGAGTTAGTACTCATCCTTTTTGTGTCCAAGTGTTAGCTTGGAACGATGTAAGCCCTTAGGGCATTTATTTTGATGTTGCAGGATGTTACATGTGATGTCTTTCAATAAGAATACTCTGATGAATAACTCAAATGATTCGTTTTCTTTTATAAATGCATGTTAATGTTATGGTTATTATGGGTTTATTTTGAGGGCGTGACAAAAAGTGATTTTAAAATGCCTAGCTGCCAACTAATATACGGTATTCCCGCTCGAGCGAAGAACACAACGCTCGAGCGTCAAGAAAAAAAACTAGGTACGCTCGAGCGCAAGAAGGCCCGCTCGAGCGCCAAGACACAAGAATAAAGTACATCCGCTCGAGCGCGAAAACCAGTCCGTTCGAGCGTAGATTTCCCTCTCCCAGAACTTACACCAAAAAGTACTACCCGCTCGAGCGCCAGAGTACCCGCTCGAGCGTTACTACTTGAGCGTGAAGAAACCCGCTCGAGCGTAAAAATCACACCTGTAAAAGTTTTGCAGGGACACGAGAAACTAGGAGTGTGCAATATCCGTTCGAGCGCAACAAGGCCCGCTCGAGCGGAACGACCAAAAACCTGGCAACAAGATTTTAGACCGAGGTTCAACCTACCTGTTCGAAACATGCCCAACACATCCTAAAACTCAAACGAATGGAATTAAAGGACAACAACAAGATAGATACAACTACCAACTCCACAGAACCGAGTTCGGAATACAACAGAACAGTAGAGGGACAACCGGGATCGCTATAATGGCTATCTGGTGGTACCCCCTGTAGGCATCTAGGAAACTCATTCTTCCATGCCCTGAAGTAGCATCTACTAGCTGGTCAATCTTGGGTAGAGGAAAGCTGTCTTTGGGACAGGCTTTGTTGAGGCTGGTGAAGTCTACGCAGACTCTCCATTTACCGTTCTTCTTCTTTACCACCACTGTATTGGATAGCCATGTTGGGTAGTGTACTTCTCTAATGGCCCTGGCCTCCAGAAGTCTGTCTACTTCTTCTTCTACTGCTTCGACGTGCATCAACGTCGGTCTTCTGGCTCGTTGAATTACAGGTTTGGCCGACCTATCAACATTCAGTTTGTGGCACGTGACCTCGGGGTCAATGCCAGGCATTTCGTAAGGTGTCCAAGCGAATACTTCAATATTTGCTCTCAAAAAAGTTTCTAACTTTTTTTCCTCTTCTTCAGCTAAGCCCGAGCCGAGAAGAAAGAAGCGTTCTTCATCCCCATCCTGGACGAGGATTTTCTTTAGTGCCTCTTCGCTCTTCTCGACTGGCTCTTTGCCGACGTCTTCTAGGACTTCCACGTCCTCATCTTCAATTTCTGCCTTCTCTGGCTCTCGCACGCTGCAGGTAGATTTCATTGCTGCCATGGAGCAATTCTTCGCCTGCAGCTGATCGCCTCTGACTTCCTCTATCCTATGCTCTGTTGGGAATCGCAATAGTTGATGCAATGTTGAGGGAACTGCCCCCATTGCATGTAACCATGGCCTGCCCAAGATGATGTTGTAAGGGGAGGGTGTGTCAATGATGGTGAATTCTGTCTTGATCTTCCTGGTGCCAGCCTGCACCTCCAAGCTTACTGCTCCCAGAGGCCATGTCGCCGTTCCATTGAACTCAACCATTGGGCCATTGGACTGTTCCATATCATCTAGGTGAAAGTCGAGCTCTTTGTAACATCGGACGTACATGATCTCGCAAGAGCTGCCTTGATCAATCAGGATGCGTTTCACTTGGCACTCCCCAACTTGGAGGGATACTACCAAAGCATCATTATGCGAATGCTAGACTATCTCTAGGCCGGCTTCAGTAAAGGTTATCATTGGTCCTTGGCATTCTTCTGCCCGATGTCTTTTCTTCCCAACTTGGTAGACATGTTGCAGGTGCTTCACTTTCTGGGTCTCTCCTTGGATTTCGTTTTCGTTGACCTTCGAGTGGATTACGTTGATTATCCGAGGTCCTCCTGCCTACGGTTGTTGTGCTGGGGGAGGTGGGGCTGTTGGTGCCTGAGGCAATCTTGCCCGTTCTTCCCTTGTCCTGGTCTCATCGACAAGGTCTCTCAGATGTCCTTGTCTCACCAGATCTTCCAAATATGTTTTCAGGGCTCTACAACCCTGAGTTGTATGCTTATCTTCATTATGGTAGGCACAATGCCTGCCAATGTTTCTTCCCATGAACTCTCCTAGAGTCCTTTTTGGCGTTCTGAAATAGGGCTGGTTCCGAATTTGATCCAAGACTTTAGGAATTGGGATTCGGAACACAGTTGTTACCGCTTGTGTAGCCCTCAGTTCTGCATCTTGCCTGTTTGTTCCATTGTTACCTCGACCTCGCTTCGGTGAGTCATTTCCTTTCTCTTGTTTTATCTCCCTGGTTCCCGACGTGTCTTCTTCGGCTCTGGCATACTTCTCGATTCTCGCCATGAGCTCCTCCATACTTTTTGGCAACGTCTTTGCCAAAGACTTTCAAAGTGGACAGTTGTCTTTCAAACTGTTCTTAAAAGATACGACTGCCACCTCTTGATTACATTCAGGTATTCGATTGAACACCTCATAGTATCTTTTTGCATAGGCTCTAAGGCCTTCATCCTTGCTGATCTTCAGAGCCATCAATGCGTCCACCCTTAATGGCTGCAGCTTGTTTGTCACAAACCTGGCTACAAACATCTCGGCCAGGCCTTCCCAAGTCTTCACGCTTCCCTTCGGTAGTTTGTGGAACCAATCTGATGCAATCTCCCCAAAGGATGAGGGGAACACTTTGCAGAGCAACGGCTCGTTCCCACTATACAATGCCATTGAGTTCAAATAGAGTCCAACATAGTTGGGGTCTGACTTACCATCGTATATTTGAAACCTCGGCATACTGAACTGCTTTGGTGCCTCAAATCTGTCTAATTCCACCGAGAATGGTGTCCTCGGCTTATCTAGGGAGGTTACCTCGGCGTAGGAATTCTGTTGCTTCCTTTTGAGGTAATATCTTAAGTCTTCTTTGCTCCGCCTAGGAGCTCGGCTATCTTTCGACTTCAGTCTTTTCGGTATACTACTCTCGGCCTCGTGATGAGCCATTTTCGATCCTTCTCCACGAGTTGTGTCGAAGCACAGTGCCTGCCCCTGAACATGCCGATGTCCTTTGGGATCTGCCTCCTTTGTGCGATACGTCCTCCGTGATCCTTCTCTTCTTGATTCTTTTCGTCCGTCCTCCCTAGAAGGTCGGTGAGAGTATCTTTCGTCTCCGTTGTGCTAAAGGGCTACGGGGATTGTTTTCTGTCCTCCCTTCTGGGTATTGGCCACTGGAATCGGCGTGTCGTGCAGCGGGTATGGTGGCTGCATGACGTTATTTTGCATCATGAAATTGACGACCGACTACAGGTCTGCCAATTTGTTTGCCATCTTTTACCTCTTCGTCCCTCCGTAGGCACCTATCCTTCCAAACCTGGAGGTCGTCTTCGTTGTAGTACCTGCTTTGATAAGGTTTCTTTGGTGCGTCGCTAGTTTGGCCGACGTCTTTCGCTCCGTGATTTTGTTCATGTGTTTCTGCATTCGACCTTTCTCCTTCACCATCAAGGTCAACAGGTCTCCCACTCCCAGTAGGAGTGTCGTCTCCAATCTTTTTCTTCTGTCCGTTACTGGCCATCTATTCTACTTTCGTTTCCACAGACGGCGCCAAATTGTGTGAGTGATTTTCCTATCACACTGCCCAACTTAGTATTTAGCTGGAGAACACTGGCAGAATAGATGACACCTGACTAACCTGTAACAGAAAGAGAAGATTCCGGCGGTGGTTTCGACCACCCGGGGGCACTCCGACGATCAAGTCAGTATATCTCTCAAAGATAATCAATAATGCTAAACTCAATACTTAAAGCATAAAATTACGTACCTTAGACCCACGGGGATGCCTCTTTTTCATAGTTACCTCAATCCTAATCCCAATAGAAGTCTGACTTCTATGGATTCCTATTTAGGCCTCGTTTGGGAACAGGCTAATTTAGTAACTTTTTGGCTATTTGGCTAAAAAGGTAGGTAAAAAAAACTTGTATGTTTGGGATAACTTTTTGACATTACGAAAAGATGTGCAAAAAGTAGAGAGAAAAGAGAATCTTTGACTTTTTGGTGTGGGTTGTTGGCTTTTTGGCTAATTTAGTAACTTTTTGGTTAATTGGCTAAAATAGCCTCTTGCCAAACGAGGCCTTAGTACTTACTTTGGACTCCTTCAGAGATAAAGATAAACTCCCTAAGAGCTTTATCCTTATCTTGGCTAAGTCTCCTCTTTATTCTAGGATTCTTGTCTCTTATTCCTTATCCGCTTATCTCGGATTCCGATATCTTCAGAGATAACATCGGCTTGACCGAGATCACCTCGACGTCATGACCCTGACACGTGGCACCTCGGCTGGCACATCAACGTCACCTTGCCCCGTGTCGGTACTCAAAAATATATCCCCACAATATGAATAATTTAAATTATCAAAATTATTTAAATCATCAAAATTAAATCTAAAAGTGAAACCAATAACCCACAAGTAAGGAGCCAAAAAAAAGATTCCAGGAGATAATCCTTGCTCCGGAGATAAAACCCTTTAAAATAAAATAAAATAGAAAAGTGAAAAATGAGAGTGACACTGTTGAGAGAGTAATCGAATCCCACATTAAAATTTGTATTGATACAGTACAGAATTCAATACTGTGATCAACATCACATGCGCAAGCTCGAGAGTCAACACACACTATACCCATCTTTTCATATACCCAACTCGACTCGATTCGACCCAGATACTGATCAACCACTAAACTGTGGCGTGGTGGGTCATCGTCAAAAAAAGACGAGAAATGGCATAAAAGAGGTGGGGAGAAGATGATCACCAAATATTTATTACTAGTGTCCTTCTTCTGGGTTGACAACAGTTGCTCTGTCTCTCTCTCTGACAACTTCGACACGTTTGTTTCTCTCTCTCTCTGTCTCTCTCTGGAATTGCAAAGCACAACGTTACGCATCACGTGGTTTGGGAACTCTTTTTTGTCCGATACTCCCTATTATGGAATCATTCACTCCCTCTACCTATACTCACTTATTACTAGTCGAGTCACAGAAAAATAGTGGAGACCAAATAGCAGAGTACATGTTGTAGAAAGAGAGAGAGAGAGAGAGAGAAACTAAGAGAGAGAGAAGGAGAAATTGGTTAGCTGCCGGTGACTATCTCAGATTCCGGTGAAATGGCGGCACAGAACTCGGCGACTGCGGCGGAGCTTCCTCCTGGTTGGAACGTGGAAGTGAGAGTACGGAAGAATGGCAAAAAATACAAGGTATACAATCAAATCATACGCTGCCTCTGTATTTTTATACCTCCAAATACTTTTAAAGAGAAATGTTAGGGATCATCAAAAATTTGTGACTCTTATGCTGTGTTTGGTTGGGGGATTTGGAGAGGGATTTGGAAAGAGAAAGGGAAAAGGTGTGTGAAACTATGTGAAATATAGGCATGATTTATTCACATTTCACCTACCTTTTCCATTTCCCTTTCCAAATCCCCTCCCAAATCTCCCAACCAAACACAGCATTAGATTACTTTGATTAGTGCATGGTGCTTTATTCTAAGGTCATGTTTGTTTGAGTGGACATGAGCTTGGGATTGAACTAATAGTCCAATAAAATTATTAATCCGATGTTTGGTTAAACAATTGAAGTACGGACTAATTATTTTAAACTTGACTATTAGTTAAGATAGGATACATAATCCAACGGATTCGTAGTCCTAGGACTATTAGTCATGGGAATGCTAATCTAGTCCGCCCAAACAAACATGGCCTAAGTGTAATCCAAAGATCACAAATTTTTTGTAATCATTTTCATAAAAGACTGGACTTTAAAATCATTACAGTTATTACTTCAATAAAACTTTGGACTCTAAATGCTGGGATCTCAAGTTACACTCTTCGGATCGAGCGATTTTTCGGATCGAGCGATAACCCATATGGTTGATAGCACAAACTTTTCAAGTCTGGTGAACCGTAACTAATATTAGGAGTGTGAGTTCGAATGCTCGCCTGTGTTCGAGTCCGTGACTCTGTGTTACACGGTTGGTAGGACTACCTTTCCAGACAAACCATACCAGTGTAAAGAGCGTGGGTTTAAATCCTGCCTGTGTGCGAGTCCATAAATGAGTGACCCTATGTAGTAATCACCTAAGAGTGATCCCAGAGCTTTAGACCTTTTTTTTAACTTAAATTCAGACTTTTACAATACAAACCAATGTCTCCCCATATACTCGAGCCGAAAATCTCAGCAACTAAGTACCTGTCAAAGACCACTTGGGCAATTGGCCGGAATGTTTTTGCTTAACTTGTTAAAAATAAAAAAATAAAAATGATATATATTAAAAACCAACGCGGGTACAGATTAGAACTTAATCAAATCTGTAAAATAATGAGATTCACTTGCTATTAGGATAAGGCTGTATAACGGGAGGCCAGCAAGTTCATGTTGAAATTGTTCTGCAATATCGTAGAAAAACTCTGTGATGCAACAATGCCTATAGGACCAAGGAGCTTGTCAAAAGTTCTCTTTTTCTTTTTTTTTTGTTCAGAAAATTACAAAAACTAACTTTTCTTTAGGTTATGGGTTTTTAAGCAAAATGATAGGAAACAGATGAGCTGTGTCGTTTCTGGGTGAGCGTTCTCCAAGATTCTGTTTCGACGAAGTTTTGGGAATTCTATAAAAAAATATGTCTAGATTTAGTTTGTAGAACTTAAGGGAATGAAAATGAATGTAAAATTCTTTGAACTATTTCGAAAATGGGCTTTTCCTATTAATATTTAACAAAATTTGTCCAAACTCCAACGGTAGTAGGCATTTTACCTATTTAAATATTACTAAAGTATATATTTTATTTTGCCTATCAACTGTTTTATGTTTTTACTCCAACCATGCTCTTTATTTTAGCTATTAATCCAAATACTATTAATTTTATAGAATGCCACGTCAACAACAAAGATGGAGGGAAATAATCCTAATGATTGAATACATTTTGCCTAACGTTGAAGGCTAGCTACATGTAGCTAGTAAATATGAGTTGAGCCAAAATGCCTAATCATATGCCTAGTGCGTTGGAATTGAAAAAAGTGAATCACACTAGGCATTTTAACTAACAAGTATGATATGCCTAGTGCATTGGAGATGCTCTTACTTTGCCTTGCTTGTGTGCTGATTGGAAGCATTGTTGTTTGATCTCATGATTCTCATCGATGGGAACTTTGATATTCTGTAGGTTTTCATTATGTTATGGAAGAATGTGAGTGAAGTAGGGCTGAGTAAGGAATCCGTGAAATTCGTAATTCGATCCAGTCTAATCCAATCCGATAGGTTTGGGTTGATTTTTTGAATCCGCAGTTCGGTTCCGGATTGAAGAATTAAAAATCCGTAGTCCACGGATTAGTTCCGGATTGAACCCCACGGTTCCGGATTGAAACCGATCCGGACCGTATACAAATAGTCTATATTTTTATTACACATCCTCCCCCATAGTATCTTCTCTTATTATATATAAAATCTAAACTCAAACCTAAAACCGTATAATATCTTATTTTATTACTTTTATTTGTTAGTTTTTAGTTTTAATTTGTAATGGTCTAAATACTTATGGTGAAACTAGTTTTCTTATAGTTGTCTAAATTCTAAAACAATATGTCGCTATTATAGAAAAACATGTTACTATTGTGGAACTGATATAGCGCTATGTTTATATTTTTATGAAATTAAAGTGTTTTATATATATATATTTTTTTGTTATTTAATTATGTGAATCCGTGGTCTTAAACTGATCCAATCCGTATTTAAATGGATTGGTTCGGATTGGTTCCATGTTTTAAACGGATTGGATTGGTTCCAATTTTTCAAGAACCGTAAATAACGAATTGGTTCTGATTTTATCTCAATCCGGACCATGCTCACCCCTAGAGTGAACATATGAAGGGATGTGGGAATTTGAGTAAGGGTTTGGTTTGGACATATAAAGAATGCTTGTGTTGGCATTTGTGTAGCTAGGGAACAACAACTACCGACACTAAAAAATCAACTATCAGAGAATGGGAGTGTTTGCCCCATTGATTATATCACCTTATCAAGTATTCAGGAGACCTCTACATGATAATTATTAAATAGTATGTAGTTTTTCTGGTCTTTCCTGAATATGATTGTTTTCTGTTTATTGTAGTGCTATACGGATCCCTCAAATGGACTCAAATTCTTTTCGAAGCCAGAGGTGTTTCGCTACCTCAACAGCCTAGAAATCAACAGTAGTCTTAAATCCACCGGGAAGCAAAAAGGCAACCACAATTGCTCTGCAATAAATGTTTGTACCGTACATTGTTAATTTATTACTTTGGGTGAAACATTGGTTATTCAACCGGTCTAGTTCGTAGTTAAGAAGAGTGGGCAGAAGGGTTAAGCTAAATGATCTGTGAAGACGACACCATATTTATGTCTTATCGTTGTTTGTTTTTGTTTTTGGTCTCGTAGTCACTTGTCGTGGTTGGAGGACAACAATTAGCAGACAGTGGAACAAATGGACAGATAATCACGAATCAGAGCTCAAAGTTGGTTGAAGAAGTGAAGGATGAAAAAACCCTTGAATCCTCCACAGGAGATTGCATCCCCGTTTCTGCAAATACTTCAGATCAGCGTAACATTCCAACCTTGCAGCTTAACATGAAACTATAATTAATCTATTCTTGTTTTCATTCTTTGTATTGCCATCATTTTCTTTCTGTTCTTCCCAACGTTCTACGTGTTTTATAAAAATGTGAACTTTACAAGAAAATTCAACTTGAATTGACATGGAACAGAGAACCGAAGGAAACTGGGACGTTGTGTAATCTCTATTTCTGATCTGAAACACTGTTGCAGGTAGGGAAGGAACTTCAGCGAGCGGTGTTAACCTACCAGAAGCCACGGTTGTGGAGCAACGAGAGGAGAAGAGCGATCCAGCTACTACTGTACTCATTTCAGCTCCTGTGGTTGGAACCTTTACAGAAAAGCTACCAGAAAAAGGAGTGGGAAGTCATGGAAATAGAAAATTGCAGCATGGCAAGAAAAATACTGACCTGCCCCGCCGGGCTTCAAAACGACTTGCGGGGATCGACGTGGGTCTCACACCAGAACTAAAAACCAATAACCGATTGCGTCGAGTTTCTGCTAGACGGTTGGATACAGCTGAAGCTAGTAGTGCTGTTCGGGTTGAAACCAATACTAAGGCAGGTGAGGAGTCAGGATCGGATCTCAACTTAGATTTGTGGACTGATCCGTGCATTGACTTTGCAATTAAAACACTGATGGGTGCAATTCCGATAGGAGATGAGAAAAATGCTGACGTGAAGTCTTCTCTGAAACTGCCTACTGGGGATTTGTGGGGAGACCCGTGCATTGAATTTGCAGTGAAGACTCTCACCGGTGCAAATCCAGTTGTTGGTGATTTGGATATTCAAGGCAAGGATTGTCCATGGCAGATAATCCGGTAGTGGAGACGTCATCAGAGCACAACTTTGAAGCAGAGATAGTGTGCCACGACGGGGTGTTCTTGGACTGTCGAATAATTTCGTAGTTTTTGACACTTTGATCCATCCCCATTGTGTTTATATCCCATTGCAGCTAGTTATTACCTCTCATCTGGATGTAAAATATTGTTGAAAGAGGATGGTCTCTGTTGAGTTCTAGTAGTTATTATGGCATTTCATACCATCTGGATTATTTTGGGTCCCTAATACAATTTTTATTAGGAGACGAGTTTGAGTAATTTAAAATTTTAATGTATAAGATTAGTAGTAAATTATTTAAGTTTAAATTAAAATTTTAATGAATTATATAACGAGTTTAACATACTTGTTTACATAATCAATCATATATAAAAAAAATAATGACCTAAATTCCATCCCCAAAACCCTCTAACAGATCATCACCTAAATTTGTAGGTGATTTACATTAATCTATCCTAAAATTTTTGACAGCTACAAGACTTTCTTTTGGTTTTTGAAATTATATGGACCTCCCTGTCAAAATATAAATGTTAGAGCATCTCCAACTCATCTTCTATTTCTTCATTTTTGAAGAATTTTCACCTCTAACCTATCTTCTAAATCCTCTTCCATTTGGGAGGGAAGAGGATGGGTTGATCCTCCCTATTTGGAAGGTGAATGAAAAATAGGGAAGAACCTCTAAAATATTATTCATTTTATATTTTTTGATTATATTACAAATAATTTTTAATATGTAAATTTAATTTTTATGAAATTGGTATCATTAAAAAGAGTAAAATCATACTTTTAAAATGAGTATAATATTAAATATATTTAATAAATATTTATTTATGAACAAAAATTATTCACTTTTTGATAAAAATATTTTAGAGAGAAATCTTTAGAAAAGAAAATGATAATTTGTGATTGGAGTTTGGGTGAATAGTGATATACTCTATATAGTTGACATATTATGACTTTATTTTTCTTAACTGTTGGACAAAATTATATGGAAAATTCTATTTATACACCACTAATCCTCTTAGTACACATCATTGCCATATTAAATTTATATTTCAATCATACTCTTAAATGAAAAGACCATTAAAGACAATATGGGAGTATATTCTACACATTCAAAGATTTCATATATAAAAACACAAAACACTCCTCACACGCTATCATCACCTATAAACATATAAACATCAAAAATAAAACATCCAAAATAAATTGGTTTTGAAGATTTAGGGTTTAAGAACATTGAAATCAATTGATTTTGAAGACTTGCACACTATAGATGATACTGAGATTGTTGATTTTGAACAACGCAACAATGAAAATGTCAATTTAATACTTAGCTTTTTTATTTTTGTTTATCTCGTTCGTATAATCGTCAGGAAGATGATTTTGTTCATCACGTGTTCGAATAACTAGAGTTGAACTTTTACACAATATTCGATTATTTTTATTCAAACAAAACAATTTTGTTCAAATTACTAAAGTTGACCGAATATAAATATACATTAAAAAAAATGAACATTTTAATTCCTTAAGAATTTCAGTTTTCAAATTTAATTCAATTCAATAATTTAATTTATATTTGGTATATTTTCTTTTCTTTTTCACAAAATGTAGATGTATTCAACCTTTACAATAAATAAATAAATAACATATAAAATTTAAGTTATGTTCAACATAATAAGTCTGAACGAGTTGAAGTTGTTCAGCATATAAAGTATGAACACATTTATTTTGAATATATTCAATTCGTTCAATTTTATTTTTTTGTACGATGATTTTATGTTTAGACAACCAAAATTGAACCAAACTCAAAAAAGAAATTGCTATAAAAGTTGAATCAGTAACCAAATCAAAAGAAGATAAGAAAAGCATATCAAGGTGAAAATCAAAGGTGTGAATGACAAATCTTCAAGACCGACTATACACGGGCGAAACATGGCGAGACAACAACAAAGATAGAGATATGAAATGGCGACAATGCACTGGCAAGCCAATGACGAGACAATGGCGATCTAAAATGACGAGAAACCCTCCGCCGACGATTAAGAAAATCTATGGTATTCTGAAGATGAAGATCTTTGGTGTTCTAAAGATAGAGATATCTAGGTGTGGATTGTGGTGTGTATTCAAACAAATATGTAGTGTGTTACCTTAGGGCTAGTAATGGAAAGTTAAGGTGTGAATTAAGATATTTTTAAATCCTAAAAATTATTATGTGTATATTCTGAGTAATGGTGTATACTTAGATTATTTTTTTGGGTGAATAACGTGTACTGAGATTATTAGTGGTGTATAAATAGAATTACCCAAATTATATTTGAGTTAATTACACCTTTAACCCTTATAGTTCGAACCAAGTTTTGTTTCAAATTGAACATTTTGATCACTATACTTTAAATCGTAACTAAACTAACCATTATATTTCTACAAGTGTAAATTCATTCCTTTATTATCTTTATTTCTGCACCTGAAAAATTGAATGGAATAACTTCTCTTATTTCACTGATAAAGTAGAAACCAACACTATAATTTTTTTTCATTCAGGAATCAAGTATTATATTCCAAATAAATTTCATATGACCAAGTTAAACCAGTAAGAAAGTACTACCAAGGCATAATATGTAACAAATTGAGCAAGATTCAATCATGTAGGATCCAAGTTGAACCCTAATTTACTTACAAGAGCAGGGGGAAAAAATTGTAAATTGATATAATCTCTTCTAACCAGATCCCGGGTTTGTAAGGCCTGCGCGGATTCTCAGCATTTCAGTTCTCTTACTTCTCTCCATAACCTCTACAAGCCAGTCCACGCTTTCTTTAATTCCCGTCCTGCAATGAAATTCCAAATCCTAATTATCATTTCTTTAGTTTTCTACACTTTAAATCCATTTAAGATGCAGGAAACGAGAAAAGTTGGAATCCTACACGCATCACATTCATGCCCATCCAGAATGGTTCTATATCACTCCGTTTGTTTCAGTGGACAACATTATGAAAAACTTTTCTACAAATTGTTTTGCTATGTTTGGTTGTGCCGTTGAAACTTTAGTTTGTGATGGTGGCAATGGAGTGGTGCATGTGATGTTGGCGTGGTAGTGTGGTGGCATTGATAAAACTTCAGTTTGGAAAATGTTTTCACCCAAACAAGCTTGTTTCCGTTCAACTTTATGTTTTCCGACATACCAATGTCAGAAACTGCAGAAAATGTTTTCCAGCAATACAAACAGAGCGTAAGATTCCAAATTTTCTTCATGATACCATCATTTTCTTTGCTGAACAAATAAAACATCAACTTATTTACAGGGCATTGAAATTCATGTGTTCCATTCTCACCCATCATAAGCCGATACAGCTTCTAATGTGTAAGCCCTTACATCCAATTTTTTGAGATCTAGATATCGAGCAAGTTCTTCAGCTGATACAGCTTCAGCAAGATCCTGGCATCAGAATAAACAATACTAAGCTGGCAGCTAACATTCAAATGCAAAGAGATGAGAGAAAATTATAAGCTTTGTTTGGTTCTAAAAACTCTAATAAATTATTAAACAAGTCCTAACAGGAAATTGTTTTACAATCCTTTTCATTTTTTGGTAGCCACAGAACCAACCAGAATCTCTCAAAAAACAACCAAAGCAGCAAAAGTTGATTGTGGACGACATGAAAGCAGCAATTTAGAATTCCAACAAATTTACGCGAGATGTTAAAAAGTACAGGAATAAGATAGAGATCAAATGTGATATATTTGTCAAAAGAAAGATTAAATGTTCCGTGTTGGAATTTATAATGTCCTCTCAGAACAAAATCTATAAGCTTTTCACTTGTGATTATATTTATGGAGTTTAGGATCCAGGTTAAGAATATTTTCTTTAGGTCTTCTTGAGCCCTTCAAGTCAAGGTTGAGAGACCAATTGTCAACTACTTGGCCTAAAAAGTGTGGGGTCATTCTATTTCTGCGCTCTGTTTTTGCTCAGTTTTAATTCGGACAAATCATATGGTTCGGAAATCAACTCCGAATGAAAACCTATGGTTCAAATATCAACTTCCAAACCATATGTATAGCAAAATCATGGGTTTTCATTTGAAAGTTGATTTCCTAACCATGTAGTTTTGTTCAGCAATTGATACTAGAACTAAAAAAGTGTGAATTGAGAAAAAATGGTGTGGAAATAAAACCGCCCAAAGTGTTGTGTGACAAAGAAGCAACAGCTTGCTCACCTGCTTGTTAGCTAATATTAAAAGAGGGGCTCCTTGCAGATCCTGATGCCGAAGAACCTTTTCTGACAACCAAATTGAAAGTATTAGAGCAGCATTACACTATGAAATTTATAGGGGTGAGCATGGTTTGGATTGGTTCGATTTAGCTGTAAACCAAAACCAATCCATTACCTATAGTTCCATCAAATTTGGAACCAAAACCAATGCATGAAAATCTTAGAACCAATCCGAACCGAACCATTAAACCACAGTTCGATTCAATTTGGAACCTCGGATTGTAAAAATATTATCATTATTCACAAAATATTATTTACAACCTAAGAATTGTTTACATGATTGTTTAAAACTAGTTCTATCACTATACAAAAATATACTTATAATAGTAGAAAGTTATAATTTATATATATATTTTTTAGTATTTTCATTTAGTAACAAATTATATATATAATCTAAACGATCCGGTTTGGTTCCCACTGGATTCATAGCTATAAAACCACGGACCGAACCATGAAATATGGTTCGCCTATTTCAAAAACCATAACCGAACCGTGCATTGAAAAAACCAAACCAAGCCGTGCGGTTTGGTCTGGACCAGACTGATTTATAATTTTTTCGGTTTTTATGCTTATCCCTATGAAATTAGACCTCTCTGCTTACGATAATGTCAGTAGTACAATAGCTGAACTTAGACGATTGAACAATCCATACCAAGTGCAGATTTTGAGTCTTCAAACCGTGATGGGCAAGCAGCATCAACTACATATATTACAGCATGTGCCTCTTCATAATATTTCTCCCAAATTGAGCGAAGACCAGGCTGACAAAATAAAGATCTTCCATCAATGACAAAAAAAATCAAAACTCAAAAAGATTGCTTCAAAAGATATTAAACATGACAGATGAGCCACAGCTTGTATTGGCTATCAGTGTTTTCCCCAGATAATAAGACAACTCAAATCTCGCTAAAATCTCATCATGTCATTTTTTATCTTGCAAACTTTTGACATTCTCTGGTAAAAAGGCTCCAAAAAAAAGAAAACAAAAGCAAACTAGAAATAACTGAAAGTACACAGAGACCCCAGTTCAGATACCATATGACCTTTTCAATGGTTCATGTCAAAGACAGGTTTTAATTAGCAAACATGAAAGCTACTTCAGATTAAACCCAAGCAGGCAAGTAATTTTCAATCACCACCAAAATGAACTGCGAGATCTGTGATGTTAAAAAGCATTTTGTATTGGCCTGAAGTCCCCAGGCCTTGAAATGATAGATCTAGAGCAATGAAATTTCTAGGACGTGTCTAACACTTGTACAATTAAGCCTGAAAACAGCCCTAAAAAACATCACTATTGGTCAAAACATTAAAACATTACTTTTAGCTAAAGAGTTGCTGCAGAAGTAACAGAAATGAGCAGATCAGAAAATGGCTCTTAGAGCTGTTATAAAGATAGAGAACAACATTTAGAACTTAAAAAAGTACTAGGAACTACGAAAGTATCTACCTATGTCATTAACAATTAAATCATTAGTTGCAGACAAATGTCACATACCTGACCTCCCAGGTCCCAGAACACTAGCTTTGTATTTGAGACTTCAACACGCCCAATGTTTAGCCCCACAGTCGGCACAATTCTATCAGGAGGAAGACCTTCCAAGTTTGAGTATTGTGCTTTCAACTTCTCCAGTAAAGTCTACAAATGCCGAGACATAGAAAAATGAGTAGAGACAAATCTTTCAGAAGGCATGTTCAATCTTAAAATAGTGGTTTGTGCCTGCACAGGTGTGCCAGCATGCATTTGTGTGTATACCCATAGTGGAAGACATGGGGTGATACATATACAACAATATTTATATGCAAAAAGACACAAGGCTCTTGGTGATCCTTTAATTTTGAACCAAGACCTATATATTACATATAGCAGAACTTGAAATTGAATTGCAATCCCAACACTTACATGTCAAATAGCACAAAGACAAGGACTTAACATACCTTGTTAAAGAAGACAAGATTTCTAGTTTCTACCAATTCTTCTCAAGACATAAGCATGCAAAAGCAACTTCCTATTTCACAAAAGCTGTGCCTCCGATTCGTCTCCTGCTGCGACGGTGAAGCCGGGTGTCGGCGGAGATGTGCGGGTGTCGGAGGCGTCGCTGGCGGCCTCCGCCTCTGTTGGTGGTTCTTCTGGCGGTGGCCGTGGACCCATCTCCGCCACTTCTGATCTGGGTTCTGGTATGTAGTACATTTTTTTGCTTGCAATTTGTTCTTTACTGCCTGTACTTTAGTGGGTTGTTTCGATTTTTCTTCTGCTGATGATGCACAAAAGTCTCTCTCTCTCTCTCTAGTTTAATGGGCATTTATTGATTCTTATCTAATGCTTGTACGCATTCTCTCAAAATATGGATTTATATATATTTCTCTGTGTTTCTATTCTCCTGTTATCTGTCTCCTAGTGGGGTGGGTTATCTTTGTTATGGAGTAGTTTAGATGAAGTCATCAATGGGGTTAGTAGCCTTTGTGGATTCTCTCTCTCTCTCTCACACACACACACACACATCAATGGGGCAATCATGCTTCTCTTTTCAGGCCCCCTCATTTCTTTATTTGGATCCCATATAAGTGTTTTGTATGGGTATTTTGCAAATGTGATTTGATGTTTTTTTTTTTTTTCTTCATTGTATGGTGTTACTTCTTCTAGAACTAAACAAGTTCGAACTCTTTGATTTTAGTGTGCATATGGTTAATAGATATTGTTCTCTTGTGGATTTTATTAGTGACTTCAATGGGTGAACATGAGTTATTGTCATTGTACTTGTTTGTTGAAATTGCCACTTTTGGAAGAGTGTTTATGATCAAGTGGGAATTGTAATTGTTTATTGAATTGCCACATATTGAAGAGTGTTTGTGATCAAGTGGGGCTTCTATCAATTGAAATTGAAGTTTGATTGTTGTTCTCATCAAACTATGATAGATAGACAGGTTGCAAATCATTTTGAGGGGGTTCCATTCTATGGCCCTAGGAGTGATCTCACCGGGACTGAGATGAGTAACCGATTCGCTGGAAATAAGCGAAGTAATTCAGATTCAGCTTTCACGGGGTCATCCAGAGATGGGTTTCCACAAGCGGGACCAGAATCCCTCGATGGCTTGCATTTGATGAAGGTATTCATGGACTTACTTTTCGTATTTGGATCAATCAATGTAGTTAAAATCCTCGGATGTTTCTAATCTTTGTTAAATTCAGATACTTCGAAATGCAGGGGGAGAGAGGCCTAGGCATTCCCATGATGAGGCTATGATCTTTGGTATGCATCCGATGAGGCCAACTCCAACTTCTCGTGTATTACAGCCACCTACTCGCAGTAGGACCGATGCCAGTGGGTCCAAATGGGAGCGAGCTATTCCCTTGAACGTGGGCCCTTCGATGCAGTATCCTCCACGGGTGGGCCAAGTTGCTACTTTTGGGGGTCAAGTACCTTCAAACAGATTCAAGGATGCCAATTTAGGTCCTTCGGCTATATCTCAAACAGCTGCTGATGAAGGGTCTCGCACTGGAATTAAAGGGTCTGGAATTTTGAACTCCATTAATGCTAGCAGTGGAGTCTCTGATAGAAACCCATCTGGGGTGCTGCTGCCTGGTAGTAAGCAGAAGTCCGGAACTCATAATTCCGAGCCAGAATCTTTGACTCCGAGACCTAGTCAACATGGATCAATATCGTCCAGTCGCCAAATGACTATATTTTATGGTGGTCAAGCCCATGTTTTTGATGATGTTCACCCGAACAAGGCAATTTTTTAGAAGATACGGACGATCGACCATGGTGTTGCATACAAAGATTTGAACACACAGAGAGCAAGTTTTTAGAAGATACGGACGATCGACCATGGTGTTGCATACAAAGATCTGAGCACACAGAGGATCTTGTGGGAAGATGCAGCGGAGTGAAGGTATGTGTAGAGGTCCAGCGGGCGGCCAAGGCGAGACTGCCGCCCGCCGGTGAAGCAGAATGACTAGGTTGTTAACCTTGCTCTGATACCATGTAGAAATTTAATGTATAAAGAAAAATAGAGAATTGTATTATTGATTGATGTATATTGATATTTATTACAATGATTCATGATTCCTATATATAGAAGAGGGTGAGTGTGTAGTAGGTGAGGAGTAGGTGGAGAGTAGGTGAAGTAGGTGAGTGTGTAGTAGGTGGTAGTGGTAGGTGTGTAGTAGGTGGATTTTAACAATATTAAACATGACAGATGAGCCACAGCTTGTATTGGATATCAGTGTTTTGCCCAGATATTGAGACAACTCAAATCTCGCTAAAATCTCATCTTGTCATTTTTTAGCTTGCAAACTTTTGACATTGGTGGTGTTTGGGAAGCAAGTTCCCAAATTTTTTTCTCATTTTTTTCACTAAAAGACAAAAGTTTTGCAAAACCAAAAAAAACACATCCAAACAAAATATCACATCCAACCCCATAATCATTTCACTTTTTCTCTCACAAACATCACATCCAACCACATAAAAACCCAACTATCTTCCCAAACACCAAAAATTTTTTATCTCATAAAAACCTACATCTACTAAAATCTACATAAAAACTCACTTCCCAAACACCATCATTATCTGGGTAAAAGGCTCCAAAAAAAAGAAAACAAAAGCAAACTAGAAAAAACTGAAAGTACACAGAGACCCCAGTTCAGATACCTTATATGACCTTTTCAATGGTTCATGTCAAAGACAGGTTTTAATTAGCAAACATGAAAGCTACTTCAGATTAAACCCACAGAGGCAAGTAATTTTCAATCACCACCAAAATGAACTGCGAGATCTGTGATGTTAAAAAGCATTTTGTACTGGCCTGAAGTCCCCAGGCCTTGAAATGATAGATCTAGAGCAATGAAATTTCTAGGACGTGTCTAACACTTGTACAATTAAGCCTGAAAACAGCTCTAAAAAACATCACAATTGGTCAAAACATTAAAACATTACTTTTAGCTAAAGAGTTGCTGCAGAAGTAACAGAAATGAGCAGATCAGAAAATGGCTCTTAGAGCTGTTATAAAGATAGAGAACAACATTTAGAACTTAAAAAAGTACTAGGAACTACGAAAGTATCTACCTATGTCATTAACAATTAAATCATTAGTTGCAGACAAATGTCACATACCTGACCTCCCAGGTCCCAGAACACTAGCTTTGTATTTGAGACTTCAACACGCCCAATGTTTAGCCCCACAGTCGGCACAATTCTATCAGGAGGAAGACCTTCCAAGTTTGAGTATTGTGCTTTCAACTTCTCCAGTAAAGTCTACAAATGCCGAGACATAGAAAAATGAGTAGAGACAAATCTTTCAGAAGGCATGTTCAATCTTAAAATAGTGGTTTGTGCCTGCACAGGTGTGCCAGCATGCATTTGTGTGTATACCCATAGTGGAAGACATGGGGTGATACATATACAACAATATTTATATGCAGAGAGACACAAGGCTTTTGGTGATCCTTTAATTTTGAACCAAGACCTATATATTACATATAGCAGAACTTGAAATTGAATTGCAATCCCAACACTTACATGTCAAATAGCACAAAGACAAGGACTTAACATACCTTGTTAAAGAAGACAAGATTTCTAGTTTCTACCAATTCTTCTCAAGACATAAGCATGCAAAAGCAACTTCCTATTTCACAAAATATAATGACATGACATACAATCAATATTACTATTTTTATGTGTGATTTTGTTAATATGTTTCAATTAGATAAATCAATATTTCTTTTAAAAAATACAAACTAAAGGACCACATGCCATGCTCTTATGCAATACAAATTATACAATATTAATAGTGGTACCGTACAACAATGGCGGAAATGAAATTGTTCAACAGTGTTGTGGAGGCCATAGAGTGTAAATAAAGTCGCCGTGTGCATTGGCTAGCACTAGCAGAAAAGGGTAGTGTTTCTTAAGGTTGTGGTGGTGGCAACAGTGCGGAGGTGCAGTGTTTCTATAGTTTTATCTTCAGTAATTAAACATACTCAAAAAGCTTAACCATATAATCAAATTGTAGATATTGTTGATTCGCTTGACTAATACTTGTAAGAATCATGGGCCTTTTTTCTTCTTTTTTTGAGTGTGTATAATAGGCCTTGATGTTGAGAGGTAACGATTATCTTGGATTAACCTTTTTTGTGCATGAGTGGCATCCTCTTTTGATGCTTTTTTATAATATTGACTTATCAAAATAATAAATAAACTAATCAGAAGGCAGAATATCTTGTTAAAGTCTTCAGGGAAGCAGAGGTACAACATAATAAGGTATATTTGCTGAAGGGACTAAAGTACAGGTGACTAGAGTGAAACTGGCAAGTTCTCCTACCCAACTCTCTTTGTCACAATTGCTCATGTATAAATTATGCACAATTTCTGTAATTTTAAAATAAAAATAATAAAAAAAAAGAGTGGCAATTAATTTTTCAAATAAAAATCATTAACATTTATGGGAACAGATGAAGAGCGACGACAGAAACTATATGATGATATCCATTTGGTTAAGTCAGAGGCACAATAAATGGTTAAATAGAAGATTCATCCCCGCAGTCTGGAATCAATAATAAACTAACATTTCTAACATTAGACAAAAGGAGAAAGATGAACATAGGCATGGATTAAAAACCAGAAAGGAAATTAATTACAGCAGATTCTCCATGCTCAACTGAGCTGAGGATGTAATGAAACAGCAAAAGAAGAGTAGTAAACATATTACTGTTTTCCCAGCCTTGTCAATTCCAAGAATAAGAACATGAAACTCTGTCTTACTGAATATATACTTCCAAAGTCCAAAAAACAAAGAAAACATCTCTGTATCGTTTTTATCTTCTCTATTATTTGCTCTTTGTAGCCTTCAAGAGGAAAAAGAAAGGACTTCACATTGTCTTTCTAGATTTCTCTCAAGCTCATCAAATATTCTGAAACAAACAAAAGAAATGATCAACATTAAAGGCAAACAGAGTATAGGGCACTTCCATCTAAAATGAAGAAAAAAGAAAAACAGAAAAGCTTGTTCAAATTAAACTGCTGCGACTTTTCTCTCTAATGGGTCATAGTTCAAGCATCTTTTACAATTTTAAAGGTTCAATAGAATCATAAAATCCATTCCAACATCACAATTTCATGACTAGTAGCTAATTTTAATGCATTCCCAGTAAGCACCGTATAGAAAAGTAGAACAAATGCATGATGTGTGTGGCTTTCAACTTTCAAATGTGATCAAAACTATAAACAAACAAGTCGAGTCAAGCCAAGGAGTGATGGTCTAAATTTACTAGCGATGGTCTTTTTTTAATTAGGGTTGTCAACAAGTAGAGTCAAGCCGAGTAGTAGGTTGTTCAAGTTTAGCTTGAGAACTAAACAAGCTTCAAAATGTATTCTACCTTTTGAGTTGATCTCAAATGAGCTTTAATAGAGCCAAGCTCAAGTAGCTTGGATTTTTTATTTTATTTTTTAAATTTTAGTGCATATAAGCTATTCGAGTTGAGTAGTAGGTTGTTCAAGCTTAATTTGTTTACATAATGAATCGATCTCCAATGAACTTTTAACAAGCCAAGCACAAGTAGAACTCGAGCAGCTTCGTTCAATTTACAGCTCTATTTTTAATGAATGCCAATTAATTAGCCAATTTTCAATAGTGAAAAACAGAAGTATGAAGTAGTTAGTACATAGTAGAAGAGCCATTAATAGAGAGAGATGCAAGAACTAATGGCATCACAATTCCAATGTACTGTGTTGCCTTAACCACGCAGCATGACCGATCCACTAAATAACACTTTCATTTCGTAGCTCCAAACCAATCACCCTGTTTGGTTTCGTTTTCAAAATCTATTTTCTATTTTTTGTTAAAAATTTAGAAATTAGTTGGATAAAAATAACCAACAAAAAATTATTTTCAACATTTATTTTTGTCCCAAAAAAGAGAAAACCGTATGAAAATCACTTCTTCTTTTTTTTTTTCCTTCTATTTTTTTCACCAAACTGGTTTTTAAATATATTTTTTTGAAAATGAGGGAAAACAGCATCTCAAAACAACAATTCATTGACACTATAAATAATCAACACACAATCACAATGAATTCTGAATAAATGAATTAAAAAAAAAAAAGGATAAATCAGGAAAGTAGACATGATGGAGAAATCAGCAAATAATTACATGGAAGGATTTTGATCTACGATCCTAACATCACGAAATCAATAATCATCTAAACTGGAATAACTGTGAAAGACCCAGATCAAGAGAGAACCTAGAGATTGAAACGATAATTGAATTGCGTTCAAGAAAGTAAACAATTATGAAATAAAGGAGATTCGTACTCTGCGAGCAAAAGGGTGTGAATGGTTATTGAATGTGTTCAAATTCTTTTGCTTTGCGCTACAACTGGAGCTCCTGATCCTGAGTTGTGAAATTTTCTTTGCGTTTCTTGACCGCTTTCCCTCTTTTAGATAAATTACTTTTAACAAAATACAGCAAACCCACAAGTTCTATATAATTATAATTATAAGGTTTTATACAACTATAATTATAATAATAAGGTTTTATATAATTATAATTATAAGGTAATGCTTACATAAGACATTACTTCCTTACAATTTTTTTTTTTTAATTTTCTGAAACTATTTTTTAATTTTATTTATAAAAAAATATAAATTAATTTAATTAAAAGAAATATTAAAAAGATTTTTTAAACGATAAAACTATATGAAAATGATGATCTTTTTTCACCAAATTAAATCTTATGTTTACAAAAAATAAAAAAATAAAAAATTCTAAAGACAAACTTTAAAAATCAAACCAAACAAAGACTTTCACTCTAGCCCTTTTGTTCCTTACTATTACAAAAATTATGAAAAATTATGTGGGGGTCTTGGGGACAAGTTTAGATGGTATTTTTACTTGATATTATTGAATTTTTTTTTTAAAAGAGACTTGATATTATTGGTTGAAATTGTGAGATCGATTTGTTAAGATATTAGGAAACAATTTGACAAGTATCAAGTAATAAGTAGTGTGGAGCATTGTTCTTAAACCGTCAAATAATCTCCAAAGATTATTCTTAAAATGATAAAAAATAAATAAAAAAAAAAGTTTGACTCTTTAATTATGAGTACACTAAAATCTAATCAAGACGACAAAAGAATTTCAAAAAAATTTATATATAAATCACAAAATTTGATATTCATAGAATAGGACACTCAATCTATAAACCTAATTTTGAATTTTTTTTTTCTCCAAGGATTAAAAATTGTGCAGTCGTACTTTTTGACTTTTGGTGAATAGTGATAATTTTTTAACTTTTTGAGTAACTTTTTGACTTTTTTTCAACTTGCCAAACTTAACCTAAGTGGACAAATAGATACCACATAGATAAATAAATGAAATAGTCAACAAATAGATAGGGATAATATATATTCTTTCAAATTATTATTATCCGTATGTTCTCAAAAATTAGAATGTGCTATTGCACCAAAAATTTCAAAATTAAATTTATATCTCAAGTGCGTTATAATTTAAGAAAAATTTATCTATAAATTCCATCTTGAGAAATGGTGATTCATTTAGCCCCAAAATTTTTCTTATAAACCAATTAGTCTCATTGATTTTGAAAATGTAGATTTAATAGATGGATGATTCTATTTACACACCACTAATATTCTCAGCACACACCATTACACTATACAAACACATAATAATTTTTATGGATGAAAAATATCTTATTTTACACATTAACTTTTCATTACTAACTTTATATTAACACACTACTAACTATTTAAATACACACCAAAATTATTCATTTTCACTGCCATTACACACACCAAAAACTATTCATCTTCCCCATAACACACAACGGCCAGCAGAACCACTCTGCCGTCCTTGGTGTCTCACCCACCGCCTCCTCCACCAATACCAAGAAAGCCTATTCTCTTCTCGCTCTTAAGGTAAGAAGCTTTGTACACATGGAAAAGCAACAGAGGACTGATTTGATTTGATTTAGGGTATGTTATTATAGTTGAAAAAGCAACCAAATAGCTATATTTTTAGTTTTGAATTGTATGGAAGTATGGTTGCCATCTATTCCAGTAACCAAAATTGAATGTTTCATTAATGTCCATTTTTCCTTTGGTATGGCATTCCATTTACATGAGCTAGCTGTAGCTCCGGTGTCTATGAGAACACTGAGGCTATAGGGTTTGTAACCTGCAAAATTAAATGTTCCCAATACATATGTATATCTTCTTTTTCCTTGGCTAGGAGAAAAAATAATACCATCATTTTTTGTTTGAAAATGATACATATATGCGGACTTAATATGTTCAAGTTTTCTTGTTCCTGAAAAAATAGGAATCTGAACATTGTTTGAAGTAATAGATTCTTGATTAGAATTATTACTTGATTCTCCAATGCTTAACTTTGAAAATGATTTGTTAGGAAAATCTTTTTCAAATACAGAAGTTGATCTTTTAATTTTTGGAACTGTATTTTCAATATATAAATTTTTTCATGATGCCTGCATTTGTAATTGTGCAGGTTTTTTTGTTTCAGAAGATTCTCCTTGTCCCACTAAGGTCTTAGATTAACCATTGTCGAGGGACTTCTAAATCGTTCCAATTCATTGGACGAGGTTGTATTACTGTGTCAAATGGTCTTGGTTCAAAGATTTTAACGATTTTATTATCGTTTGATCTTGTTTTTGTTTCCGAAAATTTGGTTAATTCGTAAATTGTTTTCCAACGAATAGCCAAATCATGAGAATTTGATTTCATTCCTAATCCTTGTGTTTTAATTCTTATTCTGATTGTATCTTCAAGATAAGGATCATTTATGGAAATAAAGAAATTTGGTCTAACATTAAACCAAACTACTCCATTTGCCAAATTAGACTGAATTCCTCCAATGATTGCTTTCATTGGGTCGGAAAATCTTTTGTCAAAAGTTACTGCCAAAATAGGAGTATCTATCCCTTGACGAAATAAGGCTGTTATGGTTACTTGAATTAATCCAATATGAATATATTGAATTTCAGGATATTTCTTTTTCCATCTTGCAACCTTTTTCTTATCAAAAAAAAGAATATCAATATTTCCTTCTTCTGACCATTTTGCTTGAGTGTTACCACTGTATTGTTCAAACACTCTTGCTGAAAAGAAGTTAAATTTTGAAAGTTTGTAAATTTCTAGAACAACAACTTCTTGCATTTTTTCAAATTGTGTTAATTCTTCGTCGGTAAAAGTTTTTTCTTCTCCGATTACATCTCCAAGTCGAATTGCCTGTAATTCTTCTTGAGATATATTATCTACTTCTTGAGATATTTCTTGACTATTATTAGTTATCATGAAAATTAGTTCTTCATCTGAACTTTCTTCATCACTAGAAATTTCATATAAGATTTCTTTATCATCAGAAATTTCTTCTCCATATATTATTTCAAAATCTTGTTCTTCAAGGACTTTGATCATTTTCTTTGCACTTTTTCTCCTTTTTGGGCATTCGGGTGCATAGTGACCTTCTTCGTTACAAATGTAACATTTACAAGTTTTCTTTTTTGAAACGCTTGTTAGTTTCTTTTTTCAAATATATTTTTTCTTTTTTAAAAAAGTTTTGTTCTTTTTCTAAGATTTCCATTTATATTTTCTACGTTTTTTGGAAAATCCTTTTCTTTTAGGAAATGTATTACAACTAATTTTCTAATTTTCTTTTAAAATTTTATCACAATATTTTTTACCGTATTGCGAGTTGGAAATTTAATTTTTTATTTGTTTTTTCGTCTTTGCTTCTAGACACCGATCTGCTATCAGTCTTAGAACATAATTTATGCGAAAACCAAGATTATCATATTCTTCCTTCCCTATTTTTTTTGAGAAAATTAGGATATGTTTTAATACATAACTCATCCCATGGATTAGGTAGTTTATGAAAAAATTGATCTAACCAGGGTTGATTTGTTGGTGGATCAATAAGATAATAATATTTTTTAAAAGCTTGAACATAATCTTCAAAAAGACAAATATTACATAATTCTAATTTAGTCAAAATATAATTTGCATCTGCTTGCAAATTAGTATCTCCTGCAAAACCACATAAATTTTATTTTATGATTTTTTGTAATTTCAGCTAAAATTGTGTCAAGGGTGAGAAAATTTGTTAACAAAGCCGTTTTTTGACTTTTTTCAATTTCAGATTTTTCCCACTGTCTTAACCATTGCAACATATCTCCCTGGAGAGTTGCTGCAATATAATCAAGGAATTTTTCCTTTGACCAGCTATTTTTATAGTTGGTAATAATGATGGACAAGGATTGTGTCCAATCATCTATTGCTTGTGGTTGATCCTTAAATGGAACATAAAACAAGTCTAAATAAGTACCATTTTGAGCTATTGGATACTTATGATTATTATCTTTTCTAGATATCACTGGCTCAGGTGTAGGATTAGAGGTACTTCCAATGTTAGTATCATTTTTAACTTCATTTGTTTGAATAAATTCAAAATTTTCCCCCTCTCCCCATGTGCCAAATAATTCGGGATCAATTGGCTCACCTGCCTTTCTTTTCCCTTTATTTATTTCTGATGAAATATCTTGATCTATTGATTCTTCAGATGAGGATGATTGGCTGTCATCATCATTAGTTGACATATTAATATCATAATTAAAGTGTTGTAAAAGGGTTTCATTTTCTAGATAAGTTTCTTTTATTTGATCTAGTAGCCTATTTCTTTCATCAATACCTAAGTCTGGGTCTTTATATAATTTTCTCCAATAATCCAATATTTCAACAATAATTTCATATTCAGTTCTATTATAGGTATTGGTTTGAAGTACCATAATATCTTCTGTACCATAAAATAGCCTATGGATGTAACTATCTCCTGAACTATTCATTCCATCATTGTTTATGAAGGATATAGTTTCTAATTTTGTCACCAAATTGTTTATTTAATTTTTTGCTTCTTTATTTAAGTCAATATTTATAATAGAACCCAAATTATCTATTTTAGATTTTATAGACTCAACTTTAGTTTCTAAATAATTTTGATTTATTTTTTGATTTTTATCTAATTTGGAAAACCAAGAACACATAATATCAGTAATACTATTTAAACTAGAACACACAATATTTATATTTGCAGACTCCTTAGTAATATGCAAACTATGATCATATTTATTATTAACATTATTTTTTGTATTTTCAAAGCATATTATATCATCAAAATTAATTGCCATTTTAGATTGTTGTTGGTACCTAAGACCCTCCTAGTATATTATCTGGTGCCTAAAACCTCTCTTTATGATCTTAAAGACTTAATTATGGCCAATAGTCAAAAGATCTTAACGAGTATATGGGTTTTGACATACACTAAGCATATAGGTTTTACAACAACTATAAATGAAACAAATAATTATGAAGATATAAAATACAAAAGATACACAAAAAACTTAGACGGAATTTTTAAATTAAATTTTTTTTTTTT